ATATGTTAAACACAATTGTAGTTCTTTATAATAAATGATCATTATAACCATACTGTTTTTTGGTGTCCAACAGAAAAAAAAGGAGTTAATAGATGTTTCTTTTATAAATCAATCGTTTTGAAAAATTACTTACGAATGTATTATTATCCTGGAAACATTACTTACATACGTATAAATGAATAAATAAGGTTCAACCGTTTATGCATATATATATATCCTCATGGTCAAAATAAACGGAGAGTGTGGGTGCGGATGTCGTGTGTGTAGGCATAGGCGTGAGGGTGTGGGTGGGAAGAAGACCCACATCTACACCCACACCCACCCATATTTCAGGCAACAGTTTATTTTTCTAAAATAATTCCGATGAATAATTAGTTTTAAAACGATAAATTTCTAGTTCTTTTCTTTTCAAAATATCGATTACTTAGTATGATTTGACAGATGCTCTTAAGAAGAATTTAAGCTGACTCAGAAATGAATCTAGTGAACGATTTGACTCAACTTATGCTTGCTTTTCTGAAATCACTATTTGAAATATTCTTCATAGGTAGAACTGATTATTCATATTGAATTCATAAAAATGATAATAAATAAATAAAAAATTTGAATATGTCGAAATATATATATTCAAATGATTTAAGTCAGGGAGCGTATTTTGCTGATGAACCTCGAAAATCTCATGGTTACACAGCTGCTGAAGGAACAGATCAAACTCGTGTTATGTTTTATAATAAAGTTTTATTGGGTGGAGAATCAATACAAAATACAACAAATAACTCCTTAGCTGCAGCTCCAAAAGATCATCATTCTGTCCGAGGAATACAATTCCAGTATACTGAATATATTGTTTATCGTTATGGACAAGCTTTACCTTATTTGAAGATTGTTTACAAATCTTCATTCTTGAAAAGTATTTCTTTTTCAGTATTCAACAAAACTATACTTTTATTTTATTTCCTATTAAACATATTCTAGATATCGCTTTTTCATAACATTTCTATTTTTATTTTTGTTTTTCCAAAGAATAAACTTGAATTTTTTATATTTTTATCTAATAACACTTTAATAAATAAGAATTACTAAGAAGATTTTCGATGTTTTTTTTTTAATTTATTGATAATCAACATTATTTTCAAAGTATAATTCGAATAGATTTCACTGTTTGAATCGATTTCAACTAAAATTTCATTTAGAGAATAACCAAGTTCTAACTTAATTGTCTTTCTATATACAAGATTTTTTTCTCTGTTATCTCCTTTTATATGAAATAAAGGGTCTTACGAAGAAAATTATGTCGGGTGTGGGTGGATGTTGGTGTCGGTACAGAAGAGGTTCACTTACCTCCACATCCACACCCTCAAGATGGGCCCGATAAGCTCTATTCAAAACTTACCGTAATTTCTATGTGTTGCTTTAGTAGAAAAAAAAATATTGAGTGAAAAAAACTAATCGCTATTATTTTATTTATTATTCTGAATAATATAGAGAAACACTTTTAGATGATAACAGGATCGTTTTCTTCAATGTCTAATTTTTGATTGTCATCTGTGTTTGATTCTTTTGACTTAATTTTTAATGAAGCCAAACTTGCTATCGCTCGAAGATATTCAGCTTCAATAGTTCCTGTTTGTTCTACTAAACTAGTAAAATGAGATTGAGTATTTAATAGTAATACTTCAGGTGAATCAAATTCGACTAATTTTCCATTACTAAGCACCTAGAGAATAATAAATAAATGTATACATATTTAAAATTATAATACCAAACCATAATACGATCACTATCAATTATTGTACGCAAACGATGTGCTATTGTCAATACTGTACATTCTTTAAATTGATCACGAATTGCTCTTTGTATCAATTCATCAGTTCTAAATAATATCTTCAATCTTGTTTTGTTTTGTTTTTGTTTTTTTCACTTACACATGATCAACATTAGCAGTTGCTTCATCAATTACAAGAATTTTACTTTTTTTTAGTATAGCTCTTGCTAAACATACCAATTGTTTTTGACCAACACTTAAATTCGATCCACTTTCACTCATTAATGAATGAAGACCATTTGAAAACAAATAATGATTAAATGCAGTACAATTTGAGAGTGTAACGACATAATGTATTTTACATTTATTAAAATGAAGAAAATACATCTATTATAGAGGGTGGGTATGGGTGTGGGTGTCGGTGTGGGTGTGTGAACGTGGATGAAGGTCTCCTCTCTAACTACGCCCACATTCACCACTCCACACCCACACTCCACCCACACCCTGTCAACGACGGTCTATTGAGGAAAAGAAAAACAATGTTTTTAAGGTGTCTGGCGTAACCACAGAAAAATTACTGGGAGACTCAACCCTTCTCCGCTTGACTATGTCTGCAGAGGAGGTGGAGATTCTCTGGAAATGCTTCTAGAACGGCTCAACGCTTTCTAGAGGACAGTGGCGAAGCCGCCTCTAGCTCGTGTCTTGGTCATGTTTGTGGAGAAGGAGGTCCTAAATTTTCTCCCGTATGCTTTCACACTGTCTTTAGATCATGTTTGACAAAACAGAGTTTGAATGTTATTGATACAGATTAGGAGATAGTATATCTTAATATTGAAAGTACTTTTTTTCCACTTATGTTCTAAATTTTTGATATAACACAGTACGAAATGAACGTAGTAAATTCAATACACAATTGACTGATAGTAGAAGTGAAATATCACATTGATTTTTTTTATTAGAATTTTAGGTATCAAAAGAGATCAATTCAAATGAACTTTACAATTCTATAGTTCAAAGTCATAGCGATAAGGATCATAGTACTACGTTATATAAATCTTTACAAAACGAAATTTATATCAAAGAGATCATTTCTGATTCAGATTTGACTTAGCTCATTGATTTTATTGCATTGATTATTCCAGTAAAAAGTTTTTTATCTCTACTCCAACTAAGTGCTTGACGGAATGTTCGTAAATTTCGGACACTAATAATGCTCATTTGATATTATTCAATAATTTTAATCCATTTTCTAAACTATGCCGAATAGGATTTAAAAGTGTAAATAATATTTTTAACTCGAATCGATTTTTTTTCCAATGTATATTCTAGCATCTGTATTTCAGCGAATAAATGTATCAAATATCATAATGCATATTATATTTGTATTGATCTTTGCAAGATAATTTAATTATATCTCATGTTGAATATCGTATACTTGAAATTTTATATAGTATTGAGAAATCAATTTTATAATTGGAATACTTTCATACCAATTTTCTTTAAATATATTCAATACCAATAATCATATTATATTTATTGATCAAATACCTGTTCAACCATTTA